AAAACATATTTCATAGCTTGATAGCTAATACAGTTGTATTTATTGTTAAATCAGACAAAAACTACAGTTTTTTTGCATTTATTAGGCTATTTATTACGTTATATAAAACTGTTAACCTCTAATAAGAAACAAAGAACTCCTATAAGGAGAATTAAAAATAATACACAGGCCTACTTTAAAATAAATTAAACACAGCACTTGGGGAGTCCTCTGCACATTTGAAGGAAACAAATATATAATTAAAATGTGCCCACTTTGAAATAAATAAAACATATGGCTGCACCCTAAAAAGAGTTAAAGGTAGGGTAGGTAAGAATGGAGAAACCAGCTCGAGTGCGCTAGAATTTGAAAATACACAACCGGAAAAAATCTGCCTCTTCTTTCAGACTTCCTTACACAGCCCCTCCTCCAACACACACGAACGCGTACATGACCAATGAGGGCACGAGATAAGTTTGTGCACAGATGGAAGGCTGACAGGCTGACAGGCAGGTAGGCCATCCAGTTATTTTAGCCGGGCCGGCTCAGATGATTGGTCGTGCCTTTTACAGCGCTACGGCTTCCAGAGATTAATTTTTTTATGTATTTATTGTCAAAGCATTTAATATATTCATTGCTATCGGGANTAAAACAGGCTACAGCCGTTGTGTATTTTATTATGTGAAGCACTAAATGGTTTTAGAAAAATATCGACTCTTTGTTTGTAGATATCTACTAAACTAAAGCAAATAAAGAGAGTAGGCCTGTTATACTGAGTGATATATATTATACACACTGCTCTGCTTTCTGCACGGACCTCACAGCTGTTCTCACTGTAAACATCGCGTCGCGATGAGAGCAGTTAATAAAATAATATCCAGGGGATGCATGCAGAGCTGTCATTGGCTGAGATAAGTCCGGCCGTGCGTCACGACTCTTTGAAACATCTCTGTTCCCAGAAATGCATCCACGAAGGAGTCGTGGAGGACCGTGGAGGACCTATCAGTTTCTCCTCGGTTAGAGCTCCTCCAGAGAGCCTCCTCGATGCATCGATCCTCGAAGTGCATTTAGAGAAATGAGATGTCCTTCAACATGGCACGCTTAAATTCATTTCCGGGTCACTACCGGAGGACCGAGGAGTCGAGGAGGGGGATTTGATGAAATGAGAAAGGGCCAAGATAGTGTAGATTTATATACATAGAGATAAAATGAGGGCAGCCCCACCATCTCACAAAAATCCATAATATATTTAAAGGTTGGCCGTAATTTGGTTTCCTCTTAACTGTTATGTGTTACAGACATGTAAAGAGCCAGCATGGCTTACATCTATCACATTATAATGGCAATTTGATAACTATGTTCAATCAACCAACTTTTTGAATGGGGGGGGTCGTCTCATTATAAATAGAACAAGTTATAATCCTCTACTAGTGCTTTACATTTCATTAGGTAAATACGTGTTTGTTTGTCTATTTGTTACACACTTCTATTAAGGATCCTTTACAAAAGCAAGATTGTTTTTGATCATTGAAAAACATGAACTATATCGTAGCCTCTGATTTACCTTAATTCTTGGCGTATTCCAACCCGACTTGAGTGCTTATAACAACACACATGTTTCCCCCTCAGGGCTGTCCCTATGCACTAACATTTTATTTTAAAATGAATAGAGACTCCTTTTTGAAAGTTTCTAAATGGTTGGATAAGATGTGCTTCAGTCGTTCACCTTCAGCGACAGACTGACATATGCGTTTGTCTTACAACAAGGATATCAACACACCGTTAGATTCAAACATGATTAAACATCTATTTCACGAGTTTTGTTTGTGGCAAGAAAATAAAAGCGTTACCTTTAACCCGAATCAATCAAACAATTATCTGGCTTTGAGATATTACGTAGTTATTTAGAAACCCTATAAAAGTCGTGTGTCCTGCAACAGTCCAACTAGCCACAAAGCTATCGTCAGAGAACTAGCAGATAATACTGAAAAGCTGCTTTTGCCACCTTTCTGTCATACATTGGCGATGCAGTCTTATAGACAACTGTTATACCACAACATAAAGCATTATAAAAATGAAGTTACCTGCTTTGGGGCGCAGACTGAGGAATAAAGGGCATTTAACCCTAAACATGCTATCCTGTGGGCTGCCATATTGGATGATTTTGCTCTGCAAAACCACCGAAGGAGGATGATTACACACTGACAATATCGCCACCTATTGATCAGGAGTGTGCAATGACACATGGAATCCTGATGGAAACACATATGAGTTTTGTGGATCAATCTCTTATCCACCTTTATCATAAACTTTGCAAACAGCTTATGATTTTTAACTGATATGTGGGTCACATCATCACGAATGATTTTGATGATGATTTGCAGCACCTGTCTTGTCTGGTTTATTATGGATAGAATTAACCATACATTGATTGTCTTGCATTCAATACACTGATGTGTACAGATGAGCCCTTGTTAAAGCTTACTGCTCTCCACATACAGCCTGG